TAATCTGTCAGGGAACTCCTTAATCACCACTTCTTCCATGAGACCTTTCCTGAATCTCCAGCCAAAGTAATATCAGTCCTATTTGCCAGCTACGTCGCAACTAGCCCGGTATCTGGTATACTTTAGCTGTTCAGTACATGCTAGTGAATGACAGTAAAATTCTACACTGTAACATTACAAATGAATTATTTTGTATTCATAGAATACTTTTCTTGTAAAAGCCCCTGTAAACTAGGAAGTTTTTCCCTATGCTTGTTATTATGGAAGAAACTGACAGTCATAATGCATAATCTAATGCATAGAAAGTGATGTGACTGAAAGATATCTCATTTCAATCTGAAATTGCAAATATATTCAGTAATTTTCTCTAAGCAATTTTTACACACCTCATTTCCTTTTCATCTGAAATGTTTTGTAGCTGCAGGTGTGAAATGCAGGTTGACCATGTAAAACCATCATGGATATAAGCTGTCATTTTGCAAAGTCCACTGGATGATTGGTGGATTTTTATAAATAATATAATAAAGGATATTTTAAGAATAAATCACTTTCCTAAGACTCTTATATATGTTCTAGAATATACTGTTCATTTGGATTTCTCCAAAAAGACCATGGAATTATAAAAACCAGATCACCTTTCTCCATGCAATTAAGGGCATTTATGATGGTTTCCCCTGACACACAGGTTTTATTTTATCCACTTTACTTCACTTAGTATTCTTAGAAGATTGCATTGAGCTAAGAGCTGTGGAGAGAATAAGGGAAATGTAAGTCACTATGAAAATATAACCTAGTCTGGAAGAGATAATGAACAATGCAAGGTAGTATAAAATCAAATTATCAGTGTAATGGTACAGATCATGGATTCAGAAGATGGACACACTTGGAGTCTTTTTTAAATAATTTAGTACTTGATTATTCACTATCTTGTACTATGTATTAAATTACTTACAAGAAACATTCAAGAAGCTTTTGCTTTACAGTCTGCATGGACTACCCAACAGTTTTTCTGGCTTGGAGGCAAAAGCACTTAACAGGGCCAGACCTTGCACTGAATCATTCCTCAAGGGACCATCTCTTATTTCTGGAATTAAATTCTGTCCCTACCAATTTGTGTTAGTAGCTGAAAGATATTGGTCTCAAATTCTACCCAAGTACTTGAAGTCATTACTCTAGATATATTATCTACAAAGTACTACTATTTATATCCTTTCTTTTCTCTCTAGATTTTCTCTCTTCCTCTATATTTTAGTTTAATTCTGATGATATTTGGTTTGATAGGGAAAACGGAAACTCAAATTTATTAACTGCATACTACGTATCTGGTTATGTGCTAGTTATTTTTCATTTGAATTCTCTCACACATAAGCCCCCAAATATAGTTATTAATCATCCTCATGTTTTAAAGAAAGACTGAAATCCAGACAAATTAAATAAATTATCTAACATTGAACAGGTTTTCCACAAACCCCAACATCTGGTATTAGAATATGAGTTTGGATTCTTTTTTGAATTAATATTTACTGAAAGATAGAGTCGTAATTAATGTTTAATTCATTCTAATAAAAAGTTAAGTAAAAAGTAGCACAGAATTGAAGATGTGACAGACAGTCAGAACAGAATACTGTGAATGAGAAATAAGAAGCATAAAAACAGATTCATGAAGACTTCAAGCATTGGAATTATCAGACAGATTAAAAAGCAAAACAACTTCCAATTCTAGTAAATAAGAGTAAGCAAATGCTGGGGTATTGAAAATGCTAAATGATAATGTAGTGTGTTTGAAAAAGAACCAGATAGACATTTTAGAACTGAAAAGCATAATTGAAAGTAAGTAAATGGTTTGATAGCAGACTAGACATAGCTGATAGGTAAGCTGATAACTAAGCTGGAAAATGAATATAACAAACTATCCAGAATGCAATACAGAGAGAAAACAATGAGGGTACAAAAGAGATAACAAATTATAATAACTAATAAGTCTAATATTATTTCACTGAAATCCAAAAGGAGAGAATAGAGAAAATTGGATAGAGGCAAGATATGAAGTGATATGGTAGAGAATGTGTGCTTTTCCGATAGTCTTTCCTGTTTCTGCTGCTCAAAGCTCCATCTTTTTCGGTTCCTAGGCCAAAAACCTTAGTCATGCTTGCCTTCTCTGTTTCTCTCCTCCCCTGTATCCAACATATCAAGAAATTCTGTTAATCTATCTTCAAAATATATCCAGAATCCAACCTTATCACCAACTCAAATGCTAATACCCTGATTTATCCTGAGTCACTGTTGTTAACTCATCTCCCTGCTTCCAGGTATTATACATATAGTACACACAAGCGTACCCTAAGATATTTTTATGGTTGATATTTTCTGTTTTTATTATTTCTGTCTTACTGCTTCCATGTTCTACTTTGTTTTTGTGGAGTTGGTTGACTATTTAGAAGTAGAGACTGCCCGTAACTTGGCTATGACAATAGTCTTCAGGCTGTGCCTCCTCCGTTCACGTTTGCACACCTAGGGCATGCTAACCAGCAGAAAGGCAACGTGCCATCAATCTAGAATTTCTTGTTGTCCATTTACTGGAAATTTAACTTTGTGATTGTCTTTTCTGTAAAATGGGAATGGTAGTTATAGAAGCCATTTCAAAGAATTATTTGGAGGATTCAATGAGATTCAGTAAGTAAAAGAATTTAACATGCTCCCTGCACATAATAAATGCTCAAAAACCATTAGCAATTATTGTCATTACTAGGCTGGTCTCTGCTTAAATATCTTCAGTATTTCCCACTGACTACAGAATTAAGCATAAACAAAAATAATAAAACTTACTTTTAGTTATCTAAACTTAGCTCCAATGTCTTCCTAACATAAACTATTAGCTTCATCTACGCTCTTTCACTCTCCAAGCCCTTATGTTTTATGTTCTAGTCCTACCTTTCTTACCTGAAAACTGCAGCTTTTCACAACCATCTTCCTTCCCAGCCACAGTTTGATTTCTTCTCCCCCTGCTTTTTCATCATGCTTCATTTATCTGTTATCAACTCTCAAGTTATATTGCATTATAAATTGTTTGCATGTCTCATGGCACATTTGATTGTATACCTCTCAAGGGCAGAGATTTTTAAAAATTTTACTAGACTTTATTTTTTAGAGCAGTTTTAAGTTTAGAGAAAAACAAAGTGGAAAGTATAGAGATTCCTTTCACACTCCCTGCTGCCACCCAGGTGCAGCCGCCCGCAGCGTCAGTACCCCCTCCAGAGTGGGACACTTGATTTTAGCCAGTGAGCCTTGACACTGACACGTCATCATCACACCATGTCCGTAGTTTACGTTAGGGTTCACTCTTGGTGCTTTACGTTCTGTGGGTTTGGACAAATGTATAGAGACATATACTCACAGTTACTGTATTGTGCAGAATAGTTTCACTGCCCTGAGAGTCTGCGTTCCACCTATTCATCCTAATCCTTGACCAGAGACTCTTTTCAGTTTCTCCATAAAACATAATGCCAAATACATAATTGCTCCCAAATAAATGTTTTAGATGTATGATTCAGTGAATGAAAGAAGGAGGGGACAAATCAGAGAGAATGAATGCATCCTGTCATTCTTGCTAACTGATGTGTTGTCTCCGTTTCAGTGTTCACTCATACTACCTTAGCCTATTCAGAAGACTTCCCCCACAAACTACTGTCTTTAAGAACCTGGCTTATTCTTGAGATACTTATTCAAACCCCATCTTATGTATTATACTAAATCAAGAGTGAGCTCTGGACACACCTAAGACATTTTATGAATTACCTATTTAATTTGGTGTGTCACACTTGCATTTTTTATTTCATGAGCCTATGTCTGGATTCCCCAGTGAAAATAAATTATATTTTAAAGTAATGAGTAGAGTTTCATCCTTCTTGCTTTCTGTGAGCAAGAAGTGTCTTCACAAATTATTGCTTTTCACCTGGGACTGTTGACAATGGCCATGGAACAGAGAAACTTGCTGGTCTCTAAAGAATTCACAGTCTTAGTCACTTTTGGACCAATTCAGCTGTCGAGTACAGAAAATTATTGGGGACTAATTAAAAATATAACAAGGAAGTAAATGTTTTGAAGATTTGTGCTTGCAACAGTTTCCATAAAAAGCTCTAGAGGATTTGCCAAACTGTCGTTAAAATAATATAACTTCTATGTGCTAGCAGGAGTTATTTACAGAACTTCTCCATCCTTTCCCCAGTATTTTAAGCATTCTAAAACTGCATCTTTGATGTTATTTTGTTTTGATATAAATTTAAGAGGAAAATGTTGTACATATTGCTGATTTTCAAGTCATCAGTTGCTTATTTCTGCTCCCACAATACTGAACATAAGGGAAGATTACTTTGGATTTTTGAAGTTTCATTCACTTAGCTTTGACCATCTAGGAAGATACATGTATCTGAAAGTGATAATTTTGTTTTTATCTACATTATAAAACTATTTTGCACAAATGTCAGTTTTTTATCTAGGTTAATTTACTGAGATGCTTTTTTTTTTTTTTTACAACTTGAGGGATTTCTGGGAAAAGTGCTTTGGGAAGGCATGAATTTGGATGTTATGAATCAAGGAGTTATGAAACTTCTCCTTTGGCCAATACTCATTTGCAATATTATAGAGAAAACTTAGTCCAGTCATATAAAAAGAGCATTTTTTAAGTTAAGGTGATGTTTTAGTCATCTGTATAATGACAATCTAAACATTTATGCTGGACGATCTATCATTATAAATTAAGTAATGATACTCTTCTTCCTTGAAACAAAACTACAGGGGGATATTTACCATTATAAAAGAAAATAAAACATTCAATAAACAAATTATCTTTAAAATAAACTGCCAAGTGTATTCCACATTATGATCTTGTAATTAATACCAGTTTTAAGTTGAAATATCAATTCATGTTCATTAATGTAACTTTAAGTCTTAGAAGGTAAACTGAGTGATTAGGTTCATGGTCGTTCTATTTTTATTCCCAGATAATGCCTCTGAGGTAGCAATTACTGCTCCAGGAACTAGTAACCATAGAAACAGCTCCACAGGCCCAACACCTGACTGCTCACCTCCATCTCCTGACACTGCTCTCAAAAATATTGTCAAAGTCATTCGACCCCAGGTAAGTGCTCATCATGACATCACGTGCAGTTTAATACATTTTGTTTTTGAATCAGTGCATGCACACCATCTGTATTGCAATAACGGGACTATTTTATAATAAGCAAATGGACTTCCAGGTTAAAGAATGGACTTGGAAGAGAATGTTTCCTTCTCTTGGAGATGATGATACACATTGAAATCTGTTAGCTTTTGGAAAATTGAATTTGTATGTTACATGAAAAAACAAGCTGAGAAAAATGGCTATTTCACATCATTTTTCTCAACATTTTAATAATTATGCTCAAACTGTTGAGCTGTTACATGTTTTCTGGTGTTTCCTTTTTCTTTTGTCTTCGTTTCTTTGGACATGCCACATTGTTTGTGATAAGTTCTTTATCCTCCCACCCCAACTGTTTATATATATATATATTTCTCCCCAAATCTTTATCCTTTATGGCTTCAAACTAATTTTGTCTGTATTTGATATTGTACCTCTCATTGCTCCTTATTTTTCTCCAGTGTTCAATTTCCTCTAGCTAGTCTCTTTACCCTTTGTTCTTTTTTTCCATTTCTGTCACTTTTCTGTATGGGTTTCTTTCTCTTACCCCTTTTCTTTCAGTTGGATTTCCCAGTAGGCGGTTTGCAGGCAAGCTTTAGAAATATCATTGGGACAAGCTGTTCTGTGATATTTCATTGAAAATAGCACTTATAAAGCTGTTTGCATTATATTTTTGCCAACAGATGGACTCAGAACATGGAATTGGTGGTGTTCTCAACCTGGCTCATTCTGAATGGGCCTCACAAAATTCAAGAGAGAGGAACTATGGATCCTATCAATGCCATTCACTATCTACTTAGATATATAGTATGAACAAATATTTTGAGCCAATTTGCAGAACAAATATGTCTTTTGAGATTGTTTTGACCTAAATGAGCAATAATTTATTTAACATCTTACCTTCTTTAACACAACTTATTTTGGATTTTTTAATTATAAGCATCATCCTCATCAGTAAAATGACATTTAAGCTTTACATATCTGCTACAGTTTATAGAACACTTTCCTACAGATTATTTTGTTCAACCTTTATCAGTTCCAAGGGAATGTATATTTTAGTGTTATGGATAAGGATATTGGCACTCCAAAGGGGCTAAGTTGTGCAACTGATTTGAAGTTTCTTGTACTTCCCTTGGTGTAATAATTGTCTCCTGCAATCCTGTTCAGAGGGTAGAAAACTCCTCATCAGGATATATAATTTTGAGGATAAAACTTACAGGTTCATTTAGGCATAGGTATTATTTCACACAATGTCCTGGTATGTGGAGCAGGAAAATGTCTTCAATAATTCCTCTTCGTTTTCAGGGAAATTTGACCTAGTTCATTTGTTTCAGGAAATAAACCTCACTAAACTTAGATTTAGTTGCTAAATGTCACATTTATTATCATTGGTTTTCTCACTAGGCTAAGGTGTTTCTGGTGCTATTGTGCAGCTATTGCATTTCCAACATTTTAAACTATTTATACAGGAGATTGTCTTATATATATTAACAAAATTTATTACTAAACATTTAATTTTATATCAGTGTAAATTCTCTAATATAAATGCATTTGGTCATTCAGTGAATGAAAAAGATTCCTTTCTGTGTAGTCTAATGAACTCTAAAGGATCTTACTCCATAAATCCTCCTTTACATATCTTATTTTAGTAAACTTTGAAGAAATCTAGGAGTAGTGTTAAAGCCAGAAATTCCACTTGACTCCACTCCTTGGTTCTGTCCATTTTTAAATGTGTATGAAGGTAACTGATTCTACTTTCCTTTATTAGATGTTATAATGATGATTTAGGGAAGGAAAAATGAAGGGAAAAAATTGTGAAACTAAGGACGATGGTATTTCAGTTAGAACCAATGCAGCCATACATATGTATGTATGTTGTAGAACAATAACAACTAAGGTATATAATTAAGAAAGAATATAACCTCACTTGGGCCACTCTTTCTTTTACCTCGGAGACTTTGGTGCAATACTTATTTCTCCTTTTGAGCCCTGATCTCCTGGGGTTCTTCATACATTATAGAGAGCAGAGAATAGAAAATTCAAGTGAAAGTAATTATGAAGGAGTATTGGAGTAGAACATGTGATTTCAAGAAATGGTTTGGAGACCAGAGGGTGTGAATAGGGGACAGCTAGATGGATAAAACAGAGGACTCCCTGCTGTGCTCTGACAAGGCGCAGGTGTCAGGAATGGAACACTGTCGAGAGCTACTGTTCCAAAGAGATAATTATTGGTTAGCTTATATAAGAGCCTAGCTTAACCCTCTAGGTGTTTGATAAGTCTCCTGGTATTTTCTGTCTGGAAATGCATGAATGTGATTTAATTGACTTCAGTTCAGTTCAATCACTCAGTCGTGTCCAACTCTTTGTGACCCCATGAACCACAGCATGCCAGGCCTCCCTGTCCATCACCAACTCCCGGAGTTTACTAAAATTCATGTCTATTCAGTCGGTGATGCCATCCAGCCATCTCATCCTCTGTTGTCCCTTTCTCCTCCCACCTTCAATCTTTCCCAGCATCAGGGTCCTTTCCAATGAGTCAGCTCTTCGCATCAGGTGGCCAAAGTATTGGAGTTTCAGCTTTAACATCAGTCCTTCCAATGAACACCCAGGACTAATCTCCTTATGGGTATTCAAATACTGTTTTCATTTATTAATTAGAAATTAATAACATTATCGGAATAATCATTTCACTCTTAAAACTGGTGATAAGCCTTGAAAATGGAAGTATAAGTGCAACTCTTAATCATTAATTTACATTTATTTGCCTGGGCATTAGTACATGTGTTTAGTCTTATTGTGAGAAGAGTGATACAGAACAGATGCAAGATAAAAACAGAACTGTTCATCTTATTCACTCACTACAAATAGATACTGATCAGATAGAGCAAGTTGGGTTACTTCTCCTTCACCTCATGCATACCTTTATCTAGTCTACTTTCATAACTCTATAAATGGAAGATATCCATTATAACCAATGAGTTCTTGCTTTCACTATGAGGTACAGCTGATTATACATTGCATGTGTTTCTGACTGGTGTATTAATTGTGACAGATTTTGCAGTGCTTTATTGAGTTTGACTATTTGACATATTTATTAACTCAGTAAGTCACAACTGTTAATTCTGCATCCTGTATTTGATCTTTTTACCTTTGCTTCTTTGGACTCTTTCATGTCTTAAAATTCCTCAGATTGTGAAACTTTCTGTTTTTGATTCACAGAGTCTGAAATACTGATGTGCTACTGGCTTCTCTTTGTCTCTTTTCAGTATATTGACCCTCAAGCCTGAAGCTCTCTATTTAGATGAATTTGCAAGGCTAGGCCCACTTACTCATACTTGAAAATTTATGTAGGATATGATTAATATAAATTAATTAATAGAAATCTGTTATATTTAAATCATTAATGACATCATTCAGGATGCCCTTATTCTTATTTTTTCTGTACTTGATAAAATATTCTCAGAGAAATGTTAGTATCTCACTATGATTATATATTTTTTCTTTTCCCTTATATTTCTTCTGATTTTTGCTTTATGTGCCTGTTTCTTTGTTGTTAAGGTGTCTAATAGTTTATGATGTCTATCTTTTTTGTGAATTGTACCTTTCATCATTAAAAATACTCATCTTTGAAAAAAATAAAAAAATTTAAAAAAAAGAAAATAGAGTTGTTTCTAAACTTGAAAAGGTACTTGAAATACTTGAAAAATACATGTTAAAAAATTTAGGTAGGTCTATTGCAGGAGACCTGGTTTTGACCCCCGAGTTGGGAAGATGCCCTGGAGGAGGGCATTCCTCCAGTATCCTTGCCTAGAGAATCCCCATGGACAGCAGAGCCTGTGGGCAGTCCATGGGGTCGCCAAGAGCTGGACACAGCTGAGTGACTAAGCCCAGCACAGCACTGACATGCCAGTTTTCTTTTTGCTTTTTCTTTGTAATGCCTTTTTTTAAAATGTAATGTTTGCGGTGAAGCATCTTTTTACCCTTAATAGAAGAATATAGTTTGATGGATTTTGACAACTGCGTATGTAGGTGTAACCACCGCTCCAGGCAGGATATAGAACTTTGGTGTTACCCTCAGAAAGTTGCCTCCTGCCTGTTTCCAGTCAGGGGCCCTTATTCCTGCCTCAGTGTGTGCATGCATGCTCGCTCCGTTGCTCAGTCACGTCTGACTCTTTGCAACCCCATGGACTATAGCCCATCAGGGTCTCCTTTCCATGGAATTTTCCAGGCAAGAATAATGCAGTGGGTTGCCATTTCCTATTCCAGGGGATCTTCCCAACCCAGGGATCGAACCCACATCTCTTGCATCTCCTGAACTGGCGGCAGATTCTTTACCACTAGTGCCACCTGGGAAGTCCAGTATGTATAAAAAATGTTTTCCCACAAAATGACAGTCCTAGAAAAATATTTAAAAATTTTTTTCCTGNTTTTCCCAGTCTGTGATTTGCCTTAATTTTTAAAACATTTTATTTAATGTATTTCTTTATGGTTGTGCTGAGTCTTAGCCGCTCTGTGGCTTTCTCTAGCTGTGGTGAGCAGGGATCACTGTCTAGTAGAGGTGCCTGGGCTTCTCACTGCTGTGGCTTCTCTTGTTGCGGAGCATGGACTCCAGAGTGCTGGTCCAGTAGCTGTGGCGCGTGGGCTGTTTCTCCATGGCATGAGGGATCTTCCCTGGCTGGGGATCAAACCCGTGTCTCCTGTGTTACAAAGCAGATCCTTAACCTCTGGACCACCAGGGAAGAATCCGCCTTAATACTTTTTAATGGTACCTTATGATGAATAGAATATTTTAATTTTAGTGAGATCTGATTTTTTTTTTCATGGTTAGTGCATTTTGTGTCTTTTTCCAGGTTATAAGTACATGCACCCATTTTTTTTCCCCCATAAACTTTCTGGTTCTGGCTTTTGCATTTAGTTCTGCAATCTATCACAAATCATTTTTGTATGGTGTGAGGTGGTAG